TCTTTTTAAAACCATCAGTACTGCTGATTATTCTTTATACCAAGCAGAAGATGTTAATTATATTTATGTAATATTGACTCTTATTAATACCTACAACTTGCATGAGACTTTTTGATTATTGATAGCTGATGCAGTCTCTATTGCCAAGCTTAGATTGTATTAGAGATTTTGAGTGCACAACCATAATACAACCAGAGATATTAATACCACTGAGCATAAATAACAGCACTTGACAGACTCAAGTAGGGGGAAAAGCACTAACACTGGTTACTCTAATGGATAGAATAAATGATAGAATCATATAATGAGTTTACAGCAGCCAGGTTTAGTGAAATCTATTTCTGAAGTAGGAAGGGAGGGGGGGAAAGGTAGCAGTTTTGGTAACAGAATGAGGGTATGAACACATTAAAAATTAACCGGGTGTTTTCAGATAATTGAAAGAAAAAGCACCGACATGGGAAATTTAGCTGTTGTAACTCACATGGCTCTACAGTGGGCTTTATCACTGTATCCTGTCATGGATTTAATCTGCCATCACACCTTTAAATGAAAGAAAGAACTATGAACCTCCCAAGAGTTCCTACAATAACATGAGAGGGTTTTCTTTTCATTTTTCTTTTTCTTTTTCTTTTTCTTTTTTTTTTTTATAGAGTGGGGAGAGAAATCTTCAGTTACTGTTGTGCAAGTGTCTTTTTTATTTACTGTAATTTGGCAGACACATCTCTGCAAGTCTTCAGAGCTAAGAAAGTGGAAAACTTCGACATTCCTTTGACTTGAGCTGGTTGAGATGTATCTTCTTAGTAACTATAGAAAAATATTATATTGTTGCAGCTGCCTGGTGATAGCAGTGAACTATGCCTCATTTTACAGTGCCAGTTCTTCCTGTCTCCACTCCCATCCAGCATCTGCAGTACTTACCTTTGTCACACCAAGATTTACTTTAACTGGAACTTTGTCAGGTATCCCCAAAAAGATGACAAACTAAAATGAACCTGTAATTGTAATATGAGCCTGAAGGAATGTACTTGGTGGGAAAGAATTCACCTTCTATGGACACACACACATGTGAATATTACAGGGATATTTGCAATTCCAGACCTCACAATTTCATTAACCAATGAGTAAATCAGTTAGCAACCAGTCATGCTCTTTTGATGTGTGACATAATCTTTAGCTTGAACTCATCATTTCCTTCTTTTATGTCATTTCTAGGGCCTGATGCAGTGTTCACTGAAGCTACAAGAAAACCTCTAGTGAATCATTGAGGCTGCAGCATCAGGTCCCTGAATCAGTCCTTCCCCTTGCATTTATTAACAGTATTTTGTAATTACGTAAGTGAAATCTGTCAATAATAATATGTGTTTAGCAGTGGAATTTATAGGTACATGTCCTTCAAAATTAAAAAAAAAAACAAAAACCCACAGCTCCAGAAATCCTTGTGGTTCTGAAGTTCCCTTTTTCTCTACTCCTTCATTTTAGCCACCTGTTTGTAGGCTGGAAGTTAGTTGCTGGAGAGCCTGAGATAGGGATGGTGCAGCCAGTAGGACCGGCAGCTGAAAATCTCATGTATCTCTGGTATATAAAGACACGCTATCCCCTCCCTGAGGCCTACCTAAGTTAGAACATAAAGTGCAAGTACATACAAGTTAAAAATAATGAAACTTCTCCAGTCTCCCGGAGCTACTGAATTTGACTTCTGCGAACAGATATTTCGATGTAAATATTCTCCCAAACCTAACTTTAAACAATCCAGTTCTGTTTGTCTCTGCTAGATGTGTTTCGTTAAAGCTTTTTTTTTTCTTTTACAGTAAAAAATTCTCATTGAAAAAATGATTAATAGATGCAGTTTAGGGAAAAAGAAAAAACAAAAATAAACCAAAAAACCCCAAAACCAACAAAAAACCAAAACAGAACAAAACGCACAGATACATAGTTTTCACGAATAATAGGGTAATAATTTCCTGGTTTGCATTCTGACCCACCCGAGGGCAACTGGCTTGGGGCTGGGGGAGGGGAGCAGAGCTGGGTGATTAAAGGGTTAATATTCAAATGAGAAATTTGCAAGGCCTGCATAATGGAACTGCCACCCTGATAACAATAGGAATTTTTAACAATATCGAGCCTTGTTAGCAAGAGAGTTACAAGCATTGAGGGCAATCAGTGTGTCTTGTCAGTTTCTTTTTATCTACCATCTCCAACCGCCAAGGAACCGAAATGAAGCACTTTGGAATTATCAATTTCAGCCACATTTGCATAACAAAGCCCCCGAGGAAGAGGCATGATAAATGTGAAGGACCCCTCTTGGAAAAGGAACTGTCAACCGCGCCCCGAAAGATTCTCCGACCGAGCGCATTCTCGGGGATTGTAGTCAGCGAAAATAAAATGAAAGCATTAAAGAAAGTCATTCTCTCAGAGAGAAAAATCTCCCCCTCTGCACAGAGAGAACTGGATGAAATGACATTATGCATATGAAAATGTCCAGAAAGATGTTTGATTTATGTATGCATTAGATGCAAATTCCATTACCGCACGCGCGCTGTTGTGTGATTTGGCTCTGAACACATCACTGCCCTGATCAAATCTGATCTCATTAATTCCGACAAGGAGAGAGAGAGGGAATTGAGAAGAATTTATGGCCTGGACACTTGAAAGAAGTAAATTGTAATTCTGTTTAAAGCTGTAGCGAACCTTTTAAACACCTTTTATTATAGAAAAAAGCACTTACTTTTATAACACTGTTAGAACTTACTTAATCTTGTACTTGGAACTTCTAGTCCTCATTTAAAAAAATCTATGACCTTGTTTGGTGGGGGGGTGGGAGGGGAGACAGAGACAGAGACAGAGACAGAGAGAGAGAGCAAAAAATACGCCTGTCTTAGACTGAAATCCAGCAGAAGCATCATAATAATATGATCAAAGAGGACCTATTGACTATCTGAATAATCGTGTGAAAATTCTGCTCTGCTGGTGTATGTTTATTTTTAAACAATCTTTTAATATCCTCAAATCAAATGTCAAATACTTTACAAGTGTTTTTATGAGAGATAGACATTGCATGCTTAAAAATGTTATTAATTGTGATCTAGATTAAAAAAAATGAGCACATGTTTTATAACAATATTCTCAAGCACTGCAGTGGTGTCAGCTAAAACTGATATGTGTTCCATTCTGAGATACAGACAATTTAAAGACAAAAAAAATCCATATCTTTGCTAAAAAGGAAGTATATTACTGTAGGGGGAAAAAAATGTTTCTTACATTAATAAAGATTCTTATCCTTGTTTTGCTCCTGAGAAAGACCTTAATAACTCATTTCCTCCCTTCATGAAAGATAATCACCCTTCATGGGTGAGATATCCTGTATTTACTTGATACCAAGTGTAAAACTGAAATAGTGTCTCAATATGTTATTGCATTGTATAATCAGTGTTCCTCCCCCAACATTCATGAACCCCTAGGGTGCTTCATAGCCTAGAATAGTTTCATTTCTGTTATGCATCTTCCGTTTTAGTGAGATATGATGAAGTACCTCCCCAGCAAAGAAGAGAGAGGAAGAGAGTGAAAGGAAAAAAAAAAAAAAACAAGTGCCCCTTGATTCCTAAAATCTTAGTTGCCTATTACGATTCATTTACAGAGAAATGAATGATTTCTGCAGTCTCCCCAATGAAGCCTGCAGCTTTCTTTGATAATCTGATCCAATTGAAGTAACTGTTGAGCAAATGTTACCCAGAGATACAGAAAACTTATAATTTATTGTATATATAAACACAAAACAATAACTTGTAAGTAAACCACGTGAACACAAAACTTGCAGGTAAACAATGAGAATGTATTTTAAGCATCATTCACATTTTCAATGGTTAATATTGATTTCTTGCAGAGGTTTTTTCTCAATTTTTCCTCATGCAGAAACTATGTGTTTACATATCCAAACGCAGAAAAATGTTACCCTTTGAAATGTTATTTTAGTATTTTTGGCTACCAAATTCAATCATTAGCTTATAAAAAAGGGAACACAGACCTGATTTATGTAGAAATTTCAATGGAATCCTAAGTATGCATTCAAAAACCACTTTGCAGAAACATGCAGACATTATAATATATAAATGAGTACAGATATATCCTGTCATTTTATTATTGTGTCCTCACTATGTACACATTTCTGTAGAAGTATTTGAAAGTGCTTATGTATACATGAAAAATAGCAGAGAAATATATTTTGTAAGCTTATAATAAAGTGGGCATTTGTTAAGGTGAATATGAATGCTGCTTTTTGACTGTACTAAATCGAGTACACCGAAACATGCAGTGTGCATTGTGCTGAGAGCATGAAACAACTTAGCAATTTGTATATCTAAAATATAATTATGTACGATGCAATATTTATCTGACTGAGAATTCTAAAGAATTATTTCTTCTGAATAAGCACTCTTTCCATTATTAACTAGAGTGTGGATTACTTTACGTTATGTTTAAGGGGGAAAAAAATCACTCAGAATATTCCTTGCGTGTTGACTTTCAGAAAATTAGAACAGTGTGAGAGAAACTGTAATTGCAAAATTTGGTTTGGTGTTTTACATAAGGTTATCTCCCTCCTCCTGCATACCCTTTAGCATATCACTGAATGCATTTTATTAAAATATTCAAGCCACCTGTCCATTTGAAGCTGTTTCAGTTATCACCCAAAAATAAAAGCAATTTTGTACTTCAGAACGCAAGAACCCAGAAATAAGTTTCCACTACTGGTGGCTAATTAAGCAGACTGGGCTTGCTGTCCCTTTAAAAAAAAAAGACGAAGAAAAAAAAAAGCCCAAGCCAAACCACAACAACAACAAAAGAAACCACATCCTTTTTGCCACCCTAACCCCTCCTCCTGGTCCCCCCCAAATACACACAGAGACACACAGACTACTCTTCAATGAGTGGTTCAGGCTCCCTGATTAAGGTCATGCCGTTTGTTCATTACTGGCCTGGCTAATGTGATTGAATTGGAACAATACCTTTGAACTCCTTGGCTCTGATCTGCATACTAATTGACTCTCTTGTCCTTGGTAGTGACCTTGACAGGCTTTCCACCACTCTCAGAACGGCTGACCAGTTTCTTATCAAAAGTTCCTAGTAAAAAAAGCCCCAACCCCAAAATACGAATTAGTCATTTGTACTACTTCTCTCTGTATTCATATTTCCTTATATACCATTAGAAAACGCAAAATTTTTACTCCCTAGCTCCCCCTGGATGCTTATTAATACTTGAAAATCACAGTGTCACTTAAAAGTACGGAAACAGTGACAGCATTGTTTTGAAAGAGTTCATTGTTGCGGCTCAAAACACATTTTACACATATTTTCAGGTGGCTTTTTCCTTGTTACACAGAGTTGCAGTTTAACTCATGGACCTTTACATCATCAAAATTTTTCTTTTTTTTTTAATGCAAAAAAAAATCTTGGTTGTAGCCTAAGAAAACAGTACAAATTAGTTTCCTTTTCAGAATTTACATTAGCATGTTAACAGTCTGCATTTCAACAGGTTCTATAGTAATAGAAATACTTTGGTTTCAAACAAAACAAAATCAAGCCATGCAGAACACTGCATCTAGAAAATGCCAGGTTTAAGGTAGTGAGCTAAGGATTTTACTTTTCTATCTCTGGGTCTCTCAGAGCGATGTATTTCTCTAGAGAGACAAGATTTCTATACAGAAGACATTATTAAGCACTGCACCAATATTTATGAAAGAAGCGTTACAGGAGAATATTCTTCTGACTGGAAAGGAGAGGTTTACTTCACGTTTACTGGAGTGGAAATCTACCTTGTGAGACAAGTGTCAGCCCCTGTGAACTTTTATTCTTAAAATAACAAAGTAATAGCTAAATCAAACTAAAATTACATATCACCAAGAAAAAGAGATGGAAAGTATGCCAATAAATGTACTTTGTCAGGCAGTCCGTGAAGATCCGCTTTAGGAAAATCTATATTTTTTCTTTAATATTCATTCTTACTTAAGATGAAATCTATTGCAGGGAAAACAGCTGGAATTTTAAAATCATTTAATAACACCTTGCACTTCTCTAGGTTCTCAAAGGGCTTTAGAAATATGAAGGAATTAATATGCATTATTACCAGGTGAACTATTATTATGGAACATTAATAATAAACTGCAAATATACAAACCATAAATCAAACCACAAAAATTTTAGCACACATTTTTCATGTAATTTCCATTTTTATTCTGCTTGGGAAACCAGATCAGCTGTTTTGGAAAAAGTCTCAAAACAGAGGCTTTCACTACTTAGAAATTATTTTTTTAGTTTTTAAGGCAATAATATCCAAGTACTTTGACAGAGGAGAGTTAACAAATTTGGCACCCTGTTCAAAGCCATTATAGAAATAAGCCATAAAATTCAGATCTTGGTCCAAACTTCCTTAAAAATTCAAGATCGTCCTGAATCAAAAACTGCAGCACGAATTCCAAAATTTTATTACAAAGGAACATGCGGGGCTTGGTTTGGTTCCTGTGACTGCTTCTGCTCAATACAGGAGTATGGGGGCAGGCTTCTCGGGGCCCCACTCGAGTCTGCACACATTATCTGCGCTCTCCTTGCGCTGCTGGGGAAAGCCCAGGCTCTGCCAGGACCGCAGGAGGGGCCGAGACAGGAGAGGCAGCGAGGGCGAGGTGCAGAGTCCAGCATCTGCAGACACCTGCAGCAGCAGCAGTGCAGGGAAAACCTGCAAGCAGGACCCCTGCCACGGCACAGGCTGAGAGGAGGCACGTGCAGTTAGCTGGATCTGTGAGCAAATTAAATCTCTACAGCACCACACAAGCGATGCAGGACAGAGAACACATTTTTGAAGGTATTTCGGTGCCTAAAACATACAGACAGTTGTAGGTGTTTTCAAATGCATCTGGGCCAAATTCTTACTGACTTCAATTTGCCTTGAGAACCTACAAACAGCAGCTGAACAAGTGAAGTTGGTATTTATATAAATTGCCAATTAATTTTTCTCACCAAAAATAGCACTGATTATATAAAAATGTAACATTTTTGGTATTCTGAAACCTTCTTAAAGTATACTGTGCACTAAAATATACCAGGTGTCCCTTCAGCAAGAAAGCATGCAGAGGAGGTTTTTATTAGCAAGAGCACTTAAAAGCAAAACTGCAAAGGAAAGGTTAGCTAGAAGGATGCACCCTATGAAATAAGGCTCTGCTATCTCATAGATTTTATTTTTTTTCTCACAATTTGTCCATCTTTGGTTTTAGGACACAATTGAAAACTGGTATGCCCATCACTGTCACTATTTAATTTTATTTAAGCAGTGAGCACCACCTACTGCAGGGGAAGATTGCAACCTATTTAGTCACTACATCAATCACTTCCTATAATAATTTGTTTTCCTAAAGCTGTTACTGCTGAAGTTCTGACCAGACCTATTTATAGATTTCATATGAGATAGGAGTTGATTACTGCTCAAAATGGAGTTTTTGTGAGCTATCTGTAACACATCTAGGCCTTAGATACTAACCAGCTAAAGGAAAATGAAAAAGATCTAATAAATTAACCTAGTGTAAAAAGCCAGGCTCCAAACAAAGGCAGCTAGTGGGAGAAATTAGTTTGTTTTACTCTCGATACTTGATCTGTGACTAAAACATTAGAGAAACTGTTCACTGACTGGGGTAACAGGTAACAGCTGTTCAACTCCTTAAAATAATAAATCAGTGAGTTTTAGCACTGAGTTTGTTGCACTTCTATATGAGCGATAGATTTGGTTTAGGAAAAGGAAGGAAGGGCACAAAAATCTCTCCCCTTTCCCATATCACAAGACAGGCAGGGGCTCTGACATCACTTATGTGGTGCTCAGACACCCTCTTCTCACTGCAGATGAAACCCCTCACCTGCTCACCTCTTACCCATTTTCTCACAGCTGCCACTGCCAGCTCACCTAACCTGATTCAATAAAAACTATTTCCTTAACCTGCATCAATTTGGCTGCCTTGGACTGCAAAGTCATTCTGTGACTCATGCCAGTAGACCCGAGGAAGCAATAACTTTCAGCAGGAGCCTGGGTGTGAGCTGAGGGGATGCTTGAGCAGGAGAAATCAGGGTACCATCTGCAGCCAGAACAGGCTGTCTGACTGCAGCACAGAGCTGTTGCCAAGCTATGCTAAGTTACTCTGGTCACAGAGGTTCCTCAATGCTTCTGCCTGTGATGGAAAGACAGAGGAAATCTGAGCTCTGTCAGTCCTGGTCCTGCCATCACAGCCAGGACAAAAGTAAAGACCCTCCCTACTTCTGAGGATGAGGCAAATAAAATGCTCAGTTGAATGCCCTGCTGGGCATTGCACATGCCTGCACAGTGCAATTGTTAATATGTCAGAGGACTATTAAAAGAAAAATATCAATATAACCAAAACACCTGCAAAACAATATAGACTTCTGCTTCTAGAACTTATTGTTTTTTACTTGCAGCAGAGGTGATGCTGGCAGAGTAAGGCAGAAAAAAACATCCCCTCCAATTTCTTCCTAATGACCATTATCTTGATTTCTTACAGAACATTTAGCAATATATATATCTATATATGTAGATACGTACTTATTATAAAATTAATCCAAAATTTTCTGTGTGCCTTTCTGTCCAAGAGGAGCACAAGAAAACTAACACATGACAGCTGTGGAAGTGCATAGAACAAGACATACAGCAAGTATGGTTGTAGTAACCAGAAAGAAAAGAACATAATAAAAGTGAAAAGTATTAATTATTGATAAGGGACAGGTAATTACCACACTTCATATCTGCCTACCTGCTATAACGATAGAGAAGACATTTTTTAGCTAATAGGTAGAGTGGTGGGTGTTTGCTCTTCTGACTCTGTAGGCAGGTTCTCTTCTGCCTTGCTGGCTGGCACTGTCACATACAGGCTATATTATTACAGGTAATTGTCAGAAGTCTATTGAAATCACTTAAATAACAACAATAATAGTAAGGATAACTATTACAGTCAGATCTGATCAGAATACAGGTTAAAACAAAAGTCCAAGACTAAAACACATCCCTCAACTCGGACATTTACTATAAGGAAGATAGATAATCACATGAAAAGAGTCCATTATTTTACTTCATATAAAAGCTACAGTGAGAGATTTATAGCCAGCAGCAAACTTTAAAACAATTGAAACGAATGAGAGAGTAAACACAGTGTGCGAACACTCACATGCAAAACTTAGGATATACATTACATGTATCATGCAGGGTGGGTAAAAAAGCTTAAGTAAATTCTGAACATTTACCTTCTAAACAGAGATCTGAGGCATGTCTCATTTGCTTTTGCTCTTTTCCAGTTTTATTCCATCCCTTGCTGTACTGCTTTTGTCCACTCATGCAGTAATTTCTTATTTAAGAGGATAATATTTCTCACCATTTTATTTCAATCACCATCCCTTAATGACTACTTCTTTGTTAATTGAATAAAGACTTCTATATTTACCATTTAATCTAAAAGATTAGCATAAAACCATGTGACAGCAATATAACAACAGCAAAGCTGAACCTCAAGGCACAAACTCTATGCTGTTAGTTATCCCTGACACACTGTAATGAGAACATTCATAACAAAATCCTTCTTAGTGGTAATGCACCTGTCTTCAGGCTTGCAACATATTTGTTGTCTCCAAGCTATCTTGATAAATGTCAAGTTGGTTTTCATTCCTTTTTGTTTAAAAGTGGTTTTAAGTTGGTAGGTTGATGGAGAAAGCATCAACATAAGTTCCTGCACTCTTTTTTCTGATATGGCAGGAGGTGAGCTATCAGCTGGTTAGTGGCCAAGAGATTCTGGACTTCTGATAGCCCTCTGACTTGTCAGCCTCCGGTCAGATATGAATCTGCCGATGTTCAAACTCATGAGAAATGCCATGTTCATGCCCAAGAAATCAGTGGGCCATTATGCTGTGTAATAAAAGCCCAGGTGCTAAAGCAGTTCAGTGATGCTGTCCTCCAAAGCTTCTCCCAAGAGCCACAGCCTGGCTACACCCACCTCATGCAAACAGCTGAGGAGTGCTGAGCCCATGTTTGGACTGAAGGACAAGCCAGACCACCATTCTGGATCTGTGTTTACTTGCTTCAGAAAGTCCCCCTCTCTTTTAGTATCTTTGTGTTGCCCTTTCACTGAGTGGAGGCACTAGTTTAGCCGTACAAGACAATCCCCAACCTTTCAGGTTATAAAAGGTGCCATTTCTCTAACATTTCTTGCTCCTGTTAGTTCACAAAGCAGAAGACTTAAAGGGCCTTGTGCCATGAGGATATTCATGAGTTCAGTGATTCCCAGACAAGGGATTGTGACCTCTGGTGACATGAAAGAGATTCAAAAATGTAAAATGCAGCAGCTTTCATCTGACAAGCTGCAGCTGAACAGGGAAGTAGACTATGATGTTTGCCAATGTGTAGGTGCCAGAAAATGGGTGCTGGCAGCTAAATCACTTGCCTACCTGAAACAAATTTGTTTTCCCTGAAGTACCCACTGTGAGCATAAGTGCCTAAAGATATATACTACAGGCTGAAAGCCTGAACTTTTAGTCACTTTTTAAAAATTGAATTTGGAGGAAAAACAACTTCAAAAACAGCAGCATGGGGACAATGAAAATAGCAGACAGAGAAACAGCTATCAGATAGGGGCACCACTGTGACAATCTAAACCAGTTCCCTTGACTAGGGTTAGATTAAGCATCTCTGCTCCTTCAACAAAATTATTTTTGAAGGGATCATCAACCTTCAGCTTGGCTGGCCAGGATGGTCCTCAGGCAGTGTCTTAAGGGCACAGAGCAGAGCTCAGGAGCTGGGAGACAAAGCACATCTTTGGAGGGGCACCTGTGAAAGGCAGAGGCTCCCACACCTTCCACTCTCAACAGGGCTGAGAAACTACGGCTTTGTGCAGAGACATGATACCTCCAAAAAGGTGATTGGCAGCATCTTGTTCTGTGAAAGGCAGTATCTCCCAGCTCTTGCTGAGTTTCAAACAGCATGCTTAACTTCTAATTTGGGAAAGAAAAATACCATCTGGCACCTCAACTTTGAAAAGTTGCCAAACCTTGACTTACTCTCTGAATCTTCCCCAGGAAATCATGGGAACTACCTACCAAGAAAATCATTACAAAGTGTGAACAAGGCTCACACGAGCTAGCTGCATGTAATCTATCACAATGTGTCTTTAAGCAGAAAAATAACTGATTTTTGGGGCAGTTTAGTCAAACAATCACCTTAAGAACTAGATTGAATCTCCAGTTCCGACTCCAGCTGGAAGCTAATGAATCACAACTGAAAATTCTTGGTAGATTTTCAGAAAAAGGAAAAGAAAATGTCTTTTCTAAATTAAGAAATTGAAGATGACAATTTTAGAAGGATGGTTAACAATGAGCACTGCAGGATCATGCTGGATAGCACTGGACAACATAAGCATTTGATTCATGTTTCTACTCATTAGAGACTTATTTGTGCATTGTTAAAAATACTGTTCTTTGTATATAAAAATATTTTAAAATAAAATACATCAGAAGAGTCAGTTTGTCAGAAGAAAATGCATTCATGTCAGTGAAAGGATTTTTAAATTGAAGTCAATAAAGAATGAAGAAGAGAAATCTAAGAAAAGGGAAAATCTGAGAAGAGAAATACAACTTTTGTTCTTCACTACCTCATTATTTGTAACCAGTGATATGTAAACTTCATATTATAATACAGGATCGATTGAGATGCAAATATCTGAGCCCTAATTGTATACATGGAAGAAAGAAAACAGTGAAAATATTCAAGCATGCTTTATTTCACTATTTCTATGTCCTCCAAGAAGTACATTCAAAGTTTAAGCAGCAACTCATCACCTGGCTAGATTTATACAGGAAAAAGTGAATAAACACCATTAGAAATATTATGTGCAAATTGAAAACCATAGAAATATGCATTGTACTACAGTCAGACTGTAGCAAATCTGTAATATTATTGGTTCAAATTATTTTAGGTTAGATGTGTTCTATAGCAATTGTATATATCAAAGTCACTACGGCATTTAACTCATTCCTATGTTGTTTTACTCAAGTAAAATTTCTTTTGAATTCAAGCATACAAATCCAAGCCATTTATGGTGTTAAGTCTCATACATGTATCTGTACAGAGATGAAGAATGTATCTATTTATTCTTTAACAATATGCTGAATAAAGCTCAAGTGTACCAATTTTAGAACAGTCCATTTCTTTAGTCTAATTGTTAAGTCACTTTTCCATGGGGACAGACCTCCTTCTGCTCAAGTCTCTCTCTGTGATTCAATATATGCACAGTTCTCATTATGCTAACTGGGGCTGTGTGTGTAGCTGGGTGCAAAATTCACATCCCTCATGCAAAGCCAGATATCACAGTGTTTGCTACCCTGAGTCCTGACACGAGGTTTTGCAGATATGGAATGCCCTTCCACAATCCGCCTAAGTACCAAAATCCCTGAGTCTCATTTCATTGTATTCCCATCCCTCCTGTTTTTTCAATCAAGTCATATAGTTTGCTTTTATAATAAGGACTCAGGCCAAAGCTCTCCCCAAGTCAAAGGAAAGATTCCCCATGTCTCTGACAGGCTCTGGAATACACTGTATTTTCTTTAGCCATTCACAGCTCACATTCCTGCAATGCCATGGGAGACTGTTATGAAAATTGACCCCACAGTGTAAACAGTGGTACAGAATTTTCTTCTGTGAAGTTTTTTTCCTTCTTTGCCTTGTGTGCAATTATGTGAATTTCAGCATCATTTCAGCATCTGTATAGCATGGAGGGCCCAGTTTTTATCCATGGCAAAGGAAAATCTCTATTTTAGGCCACACTTCATTGTCTAAATTCAGTTTCATTTACAGGCATGGTATATATAAGATATATATCCCATGCATACTCAAGATATTTATACAGTTTGGGAAAAGGTTGCACACTTTAAAGGCCAGACTCTATGCACATGTATGTCCTAACTTCAACAAGGAAGGCCTTGTTGGAGACAACAAGTACAAAGTGGGTCAATCTTCTGTCTATGGGTGATGCCAAAGGTCAGGAATTTTCTGTCTGGTTTGGTAAGTACAGAGGAAGTTAGGATGATGATTTCACTCCAACTCATCACATACTCCTTCAGGAGAATATTTCTGCTGTGAGAAGGAACTTGACACTCACTCCATGCACAAATGAACTGCGTGGAGGTGGAGAACTCAAAGCCAGGCCTAACACTGGCTACATCATCTCTGGAAAATCTCTTCTGTGTTTTCACAATGCTCTCTAGCAGTGCTCAGCTTACCAGCACATTTGCTGCAATACATCACTAAACTGACACATGCCAGTGTGTTCTTCTGGCCACAACACAGCCAGAAGAAGTTGTAGTTAAAAGCCTATGAGAACATATCGATACATATCGTATCCTGCAGCAGCATTATGAAATGTAACATACATCCAAATGTGCAAAACACAGCATAACTGAACTCCCCACATGCATAGGATGCTTTTATTCAGGAAAAAATAGGATGGAAGGAAAAAAATGTAAAAAGTTTCTGACTTTTGTTAACCTTCTCTTGTAGTTCAGGTTATTTCTTTAATGCATTTATCTGCTTTAAAATTGTCTCCTTAGCCTCTCAAGGGAAACCAATATAATACACCATCACATTTCTCACAGGAGAAAAAAGAACACTTACTCTTAATAGGTGGCAATTTTGCCAGATGTTATTGACATAGTAAGTGCGAAATTTCAGTGATACTAAATGCAAAGTGCAGAAGATTAAAGAACAATGGAACAAAGTGCAAAATGAAGTTTAAAAAGCAGCAGTGTCAAAGTCAGAGAAAGTGTGAAAAAATTACAATTTAACAACACTATTAAGAACAAGTTTACTAATTACTGTAACTGGCACAAATTTAAAAGTGCCTTCCTTAGACTCAGTAAAGTTTTTCAAAGTGTGATATTTCTTTTCTTGTCAGCATTTTTTTCTTTTCTTTATGCACTGTGGCAGAGACATAACATTATTGTTACTAAAACAATCACACTTGGAGCTATTTATCTTTCACTTTTTTAACCCTTTCTTACTAAGTAATATTTCTACAAATCCCTCAACCCAAGGAGGCTAGTGAACTACAGAAAATGTTTTGATAACTAGTATAGAACAGTTTAAAATAAACACTATGGAATTTAATCTGTCACGATATGCACATCCTCTGACAATAATGAAATTTATAAAATAAAAATTACTTCTCATTAGAAGTTTGGTAAAATCCCATTTTATTGTTACAAAAAAAAAGAAAAAAATCTATACAATGTGCACATTTTCCTCATATTCAATTACTCACTAAAATACAATAATAAAATATTGCAGTTGAGGTGCTCCTTTTCTATAAATCAGAGAAGCTCCATTGCTTTCATTGGCATCATACCAAGCTTGAAGAACCCCATTTCATTTGTGTTGTTCATACTGTATTGACAAACAGGAGCCATTTCTCACCTGGCAGCTGTACATGGATGGACCTCTGCTGAAT